GGAATTCGCATGTGTCGGGGTAGATCGGATTCGGTAGCCATCACTCTTTACTGCGATTTGATTCAACAAGTGCACACGCGGCTGAATACAGCGTGGATATTTTGAACTTCCCCGCTCTCGTTTGGGGGTTCTATCGTGCTGCTTGAGGATGATAGCATGGGCGGTAGGAGAGGTGGTAACGCAACAAAGCTAAGGTGCTAGCATGGGGGAAAATTATGTACGACTCTGGGTTTCTGTTGAAGCCCTTTAATTAATAGCGATCGAAGAGCTCTGTAGAAAAGAATAAACGGGTGTTCGGGTCGACGTGGATTAATGTGGGGACCAATGGCAAGAATCTACCAGTGGCAATGGGCGAACAGACGTTTGATATTCCATTACTCCGTACATACAACGTTGTAAACAGGTGAGGGTTTCGGTGCATCGATAGCATCGGTGCCCATTAAATCCCATCAGCACTCGAATCTCGCATACTGATTCTCCGGCATAGACTGGACGGTGTCATTCGTGGAGTTCACCTCGGGAATCGGCACTCGTCCGGCGCCACTGGACGGTTTCTAAGGTTACTTTAGACTACTAATCCACAGGAACTAGTCATGTTTGAACAATGTTTTTGTTTTCGAACAGTATAGACGGGATCGTCAGATCGTCAGACCGTCAAATACGTCAAATGTTCTCGGAAATATGTTCGAGGTGTAAAGTGATAAGCTTTATTCCCGGTGGAGCAGTCTACTTCGACCTATTTTCCGATTTGTTAACATACGATCCCGTTCCGGGGATTGTTTAGGTCTTTCATATATCCAAGCCACTATTTATACTATAAAGACAAAACAGGCAATAGGGCTTAGGGCTGAGTGTTATGCCCGTGAAACAGGGCGAGCCGAGGCATCTGCCCGGGCTGGATCTCCACTTACCAGATATATGTGCCGTAGTCAGCTGTTCTACTACATCGTATAAATATCTTTTAGATTTAAAAGGTTGTTTCGGTATTCTACCTCAACCATGTCGGGAGCGACAGACACCCGCAGATCGGTGCTCATCACAGGGTAAGCGACTTTCGACAAATACAAATAACAGCTTCTGATATATACCGTAGATGTTCCCCAGGTGGAATCGGCAACTCCCTGGCGCGCGAGTTCAACCGAAATGGACTGCGCGTGCTGGCCACTGCTCGCGATGCAGCGACCATCTCTGATCTCGCAGAGCTCGGTATTGAGACCTTGAGCCTTACAGTTGATGACCCGGAGAACGTGAAATCATGTTTTGCGGATGTCGAAAAGAGGCTCGGAGACAAGGGTCTTGATTATCTCGTTAATAACGCGTGAGTATCCTTTGTCGTTTTATCTATGGACGGTACCGTACATCTGGCTAATATCTTACAGTGGACGGAGTATGTAACTTCACTCTCGCGGCTTCCGGCATCAGTAATATGAAACAGGTACTGATTGATGCAGATTATACCGTTCCCGCGATGGAAGTAGAGCTCGCCGAGGTTCGCCAGACATTCGAGACCAACCTTTTCGCTGTCATTACTATGTGCCAGACTTTCCTGCCCCTGCTTATCAAGGCGAAGGGTACTATTGTGCAGATTGGATCGGTCGCCGGGGTATGTTTGAGATATATCCATCTTCGCAGATCTTATCTTATTGACAATAACTAGATAATCCCATATGTATTCGGCTCTGTCTACAACGCCTCTAAAGCAGCACTGCACTCGTTCAGTGACACGCTTCGCGTGGAGCTGGCACCATTCGGGTTCGTTAGACACGGCCCCCTAAATCCAAGATCGTTATGTTGTGTTTTCTAACTAGGATGAACAGTGTCCATGTCACGACCATCGTTACCGGCGGTGTTCAATCGCGCATTGCGCGTACTGACCGTGCTCTGCAGCCGGGTTCCTTGTATTCTCCTATCGAGTCCGAGTATCTTACCCGTGTGAAGCATAGCCAGCACAACGCTATGCCGAATGACGCCTACGCTCGCAGTGTTGTTTCTCAAGTGTTGTATGGCTCAGCTCCGTGGCGCTGGTTGTGGCCGTGGGCTCGTGGTCGTAAGGCCTGGATCTGGGAGGGTCGTGCTAGCTGGTTGATTTGGATGTTGTCGGGTGGCTGGGCTTGGTCGGGACTGTTTGGTCGGATCATGACTAAAATGTTTAAACTATGGAAGATCAAAAATGCCTCGCGCAAAAAAAAGGGGGGCGATCTTTGTGGGTTTGAAGGGTAAGTTTAGTCAATATAATGTAATCTAGTCGATATGAACAAAGCTGAACATTTTAAAGGAGATGTATAAAATATAAAAAAAGAAAATCAAAAGCTTTCATATCCAAAGAGAAATACCGACTTTCATAGCCATGTTCCGTTATATTCGCGTTGTCCCCGAACTCATGCTGAGTCAGTTCGGGAACGATCGCTGGTTGGCTACGGCACCCGATTTTACCGCAATGCAAGGTCACCCCGAAGACTTGCTGAAAAAGAAAGCTGTTCTCCCGGTCCCTTACCAACTATCTAAACGGGCTTTATACCTCCGCCCTTCTACAAATTCCCCCTCTCCTCTCTCATCCTAATTCATCATGTTCAAGCTTGCTCGCGGTAGACCCGTTGCGGCGGCTTTCAAGGCTGCGACAGTGAGTTATATCTGAATTCGATCGGGCCGCGTTTTATGTGAGCTGACTTTGACTATGAACAATAGCAACCCTCCATCCAGAGCAGACTCGCTTTGCAGAAGCGAAACCTTTCAATCCACGAGTACCTTTCCGCAAGGCTCCTCAAGTCGGTACGTGTATCCGCGTTTCACCCTTCGGTCGCCCGAAAAAAAAAACAGGAAGGAACTCGGGATTGCTGATCAACAATCTAGTACGGTGTCGGTGTCCCCAAGGGTGACGTCGCCAAAACTGCCGAAGAGGCTGAGACTATTGCCAAGTCCATTGGTGAGAATAACCTACTGATTCCCCCCTGTGAACGCGCTCGCTGAACATTACATCCCCAGGTGGTGATGATCTTGTTATCAAGGCCCAGGTTCTCGCCGGTGGCCGTGGTAAGGGTCAATTCGACAATGGTCTCAAGGGTGGTGTCCGTGTGATCTACTCGTGAGTTGTACAAATCCGAGAACAGGTCGGGAACAATGGAGCTGATAGATATCTTTGCAGTCCCACTGAGGCCAAGATGTTCGCTGGCCAGATGATCGGTCACAAGCTCGTTACCAAGCAGACTGGCGCTGGCGGCCGTATCTGTAACTCGGTCTACATTTGCGAGCGCAAGTTCGCCCGCCGTGAATTCTACCTCGCTGTCCTCCTTGACCGTACCACCCGTGGCCCCGTCATCGTTTCATCCTCCCAGGGTGGTATGGATATCGAGGCTGTCGCCAAGGAGAGCCCCGACGCCATCATGACCACCCCCATTGACATCCACGTCGGTGTGACTGACGAAATCGCCCGCACCATCGCTACCGATCTTGGTTTCTCTGAGCAGTGCATCGAGGAGGCCAAGTCCACCATCCAGAACCTCTACAAGTGCTTCATGGAGCGCGATGCTACCCAGCTCGAGATCAACCCCCTGTCTGAGACCTCCGATCACCAGGTTCTGGCCATGGATGCCAAGCTTGGATTCGACGACAACGCCGAGTTCCGCCAGAAGGAGGCTTTCTCGTGGCGCGATGTTACCCAGGAGGATGCTGATGAGGTCAAGGCCGCTGAGTAGGTTGCCTTCCTGGAAAAGCCAACCCCAGACAGCATTGACTGACTTTTATCTTTTTCTAGGCACGGTCTCAACTTCATTAAGCTCGATGGTGACATCGGCTGCCTTGGTAAGGATCCTGTTGATACTTCAAAAGATCGCCATTCTAATTCTCGCGTTTAGTCAACGGTGCCGGTCTCGCCATGGCCACCATGGATATCATCAAGCTTAACGGCGGTAGCCCCGCTAACTTCCTCGATGTCGGCGGTGGTGCCACCCCCGCTGCAATCAAGAGCGCCTTCGAGCTGATTACCAGCGACCCCAAGGTGTCCGCCGTCTTCGTTAACATCTTCGGTGGTATCGTCCGCTGTGACGCCATTGCCCAGGGTTTGATCAACGTTGTGCAGGAGATGAACTTGCGCACCCCCATCATCGCCCGTCTGCAGGGTACCAACATGGAGCAGGCCCACAAGCTGGTATGATTACAAGTCCCCATTTCCCCATTGCTAGGTATGATGTAAACTAACCGAATTTATTAATTTCTAGATCAACGAGTCCGGCCTTAAGATCTTCTCCATCGAGGACCTCCAGAACGCCGCTGAGAAGTCTGTCCAGTTCTCCAAGGTTGTCAAGATGGCCCGCGACATCGATGTCGGTGTTGAGTTCACCCTCGGCATCTAAAGGGTGTTTACCCCTTTGGTTATAATGATAGAGAGGGTAGGGAGCATTTCCATTTGCCTTTTTCCTGGGGCCAGCGAACCGAACCGAACCGCCGCAGTGACATCTTAGAGAGATCTTTGTAATGCTTTTGCGCCTGTTCCTGTGTCATTTATTTTCTTTTTGTCACTGTATTCTTGAGTGTTTCTATGACCTAGATCAGTTCCTAATCGGGATGTGTGAGAGATGATATATTGATCTCTCATTGTTTAGTGAAGTGTTCATAAAGATTCATATATGTATGGTAGATGGCTGCTCTTGGACCGAGTGGAAGTGGCTTTGATTCGGCCGTATATTCGCTGTATATGTATTCTTTGAGTGTAAGCAGTAAACGACTCCAAGGCTTACCAACTGAAAGCGGAAGCTGGTCAATGCATCGGAATCCCTATAGTATGTCCATGGAGAAAGACAACAAGAAGTTGGGAGGTTTGTATAAACCTTGGAAGTTGAGCCACGCTTACTGTGAGCCTATCACCCGTGGACCTTACTTAAACCCCACCCCATTCCATCCTGGAATCCTGGAAGGAACACCGTCAAAATTCCACCCATCATTTGACAATGTTTCTGTGAAAGTTTCTTCATTTATCCCAGTCTTCCATTCGACTCGAACCGAATATGGACTCACCCACGCAACCCATTCTCGCGGGCTTCATGGCTCTCCGTGACAGCTCAAGCCGGCGAGCAGTGTACGTCTCACGTCCAAAGTTCAGAGTCGGACCTGACGGCTAATACAAATAGGTTCAACGACATCCTTGATAAGCTAAGTCCTCATGAAATACGAGAAGTGAAAAGCCGATTAGAACCGATCACATTCCAATGTGATTTGCTAGATAAACTGCCTATTGAACTGGTGGCTATGCTAGCAAAGTACTTGGACCTAGTTGATCTTGTTCTCCTTCGGAGAGTATGCCAGCATCTGCTTGGTTACTTGTGACGTCTATTGACATTATTGTATTACATAGGTCTCCAAACGATGGCGTGAATTGCTTTCTTCAACCATCGTCCTCACCACTGCAATCGGATATCATATGGGGAAAAGCGTTATTAAGCCCGATTATCGCACCCCTGCTGATTTTGATACGCTGATTAAAAAAAGAATTCAAGCGGAACGAGGAGTCCCTGCTGTTGTGGCTACAATCCCTAATAACTTGTCCCCCGATTTTGAGGGCGGGTTGAACAGAGATGGGATAAGCTGTTTTAATGGAGTATGCGCATGGATTGAAGAATCTAGAGATCGAACTACTATCTTCATGGTGCACCTACCATCCGGCCAAAACAGAATCCTCACAACAGCAAATCGAGAGGAATTTACTCATGTTCAGGTCTCCGACACCTTGGTATCAGCAATTTCTGTTTGGGGGTATGTAACCAGGAAAGGAACCTCACTTTATTGAATGCACTTCTGACTGGAGAGGATAGGTATTGTCATGTCTGGAACATTCCCAAAGAACAGTACAAGTCCTTTCGCATTCCTTCATTACAGTTTGTCCATTGCATATCCATCGGATCCAAGATCATGCTGAGCTACGCGGATTCCGTCGTCCACTTCTGCTTTGACTCTGGCATCGCCCGTTCCGTCAAAATTGGGCCGTTCATTCTTTTGTTGTCAGTACATGCAGAGGAAGATGGATTCTCCGTCATTTGTGCCCGCAGAAAAAATGGCGACAATATTCAACCATGGGAAGATGGTTACTTGCATTGGGAAGAGCATCACTTGCAGACCCAGAAATTCTCTGTCCATGGTACTAGATTTGTCTGCATCTGGGAGCAATATCGAGAGCTTCCTTTCAGGCATGATGAATATTGGGGGTTCCAGTGCAAACAAGAAAAAGCCACACGCCCATACAGAGTGTGCCCCGGTCAAAGCTCTACTTTGCTGGAATATTGTATGGATGGGGCCCCTATCAGTCGTTATCGTACGGATGATCCTTATCCGCGATACGACTTTGAATATGGTTCATTTTCTCTTTCACTCGAGGCAGATGATCTGATTACTGTGTATTTCAACCCCACGGAGCTGGACTTCAGGTATCCTCACGCCAATCTAGACTATTCTGCCCGGGGCCCGGGGTTGATTTATTGTTTTGAGGACCACCCATTCTCAACAAAAATGAAATTGCGCATTGGCCGTGAATCTCCAGAGGTCTCGCATGGCCCCGGCACTAAAGCGTGTCGATTTGAATCCTTACGCACAGTACGTTTTCCAGATAACCGCCCATGCACTTCGGTTTTGGGGGATGGAGACTTCGTTCTCTTCCCTTCAGGTGACAAAATCTGGATCTGGTGTTTTGATGAGGCATGGCTCCCATCTGGTATCCCTAGCATGAGGATTGCAACTTGGTGATTTGGGGTAAAAAGTGGGATTCCGTTGAAGAAATGACTATATCAACTAGTCAGCTATGTAACCCTGTCGAACCCACCTTGACACTAGCGGATGATTGCAGTTAATACAAGTTCTTTGTCAAGCAATACTGTATGGATAAATACGTGATGCCCCGACAAGGCTTAGACACATATATGTAAGGTCATATATGTATGTGAAGTACTAAAGAAAAGGAACTTGAATCAAAGAAAAGACTATTTCATACAAATTCTGAATCAGGGCTATTGATCTTTACCTAGATAGGTTAACATCATGTTATGATTGTTATAATCAGGGGGTAATCTAAGATATAATAATAGTACTAAGTAGTGTACGGAGTACTATGGAGTACGGAGGTAGAACTTATCTAGGTATGTCTATGTAGCCAGTCTAGTCTAACTGCAGACATGGATTATAATTACCGAATATAAGAGTCAATGACTCCTTATATTTGATACATATATGCCTAGGTAGTGTGTTATTATCCATACTCCGTATTATGTTGATAATTAAATTGGCAGAATCCAAGCCAATAGGGCTATAAGAGAATATGGAGTAGGAGTTAGACAATTAAAGTAGCCCCCTTTTTTCCCCCAAAATAATATCATTGATATCCAATTGGTCTCTTCTTTCCTTTCATCCCTGTATAACTCCGTATAACTTCAACTTCATATTTCTGCAGATCTGACTGTCAACGCATTTCCGCCCCCTTCCCCGCAGAGCCCTTTTTCTCAACCTTCCAGACACTTCGAGACTTTCTTATTTTTCCTTCTCTCTATTTTTACCTATCACCTTTTCCCCTTGAAAATAATACGATTTTTTTTTTGCGCGATGACAGAGTTGATTATTGGTTGATCTCCCACGTTCTTTCGGCAGCATAAACGGTCCATCGCGTCCGAATTCCACCCCTCACGATCCCGTCGCATCCACCCTCGATTTTGATATATACCCACACCACTCCGACATGAGTCGTCTCGCCGACCCTCCTTCTACTAGGATTTCATTTGCCGGGGTACCAGACGCCCCGGGCAGGACACGAAACATTCCTGTACTTTCGTCGTCTGGCCAGCACCAGATGGATATCACCCCTCCGCCCACGGGCGCGCATGGCACTGACGACCGAATGACCGGAATCACCAATGGCGCTGAAGCTGGGAACAATCCTTTGAATGCTTCAAACCCGGCTATCGGTGCTGCGGCCGCAGCTCAGCAGCCAAAAGTCGTCCAGACTGCTTTCATTCACAAGCTCTACAAGTATGTTTTTTTGGGTCTTCGTCTTTCTATCTCCATCGGCTTACACTTTTGGAAAACAGTATGCTAGAAGACCCCAGCATCCAGCATCTCATCTCTTGGTCCGGTACAAACGATAGCTTCGTCATGTCGCCAACGTCGGAATTCTCCAAAGTCCTAGCGTGGGTGCTATCTATCCTCTTTGCCAATGAACTCGTCCCTGACCCTCGCAGATCGTACTTCAAACATACGAATATCTCCTCGTTCGTTCGACAGCTGAATATGTATGGGTTTCACAAAGGTGGGTGTTTCGCATGCTAGCTCTGATTTTGGCGATTTCTGACCATTCTTGATTCTGCTAGTGAGCGACGTCTTCCACACCGGGTCCCCAGATTCTGCACTTTGGGAATTTAAACATGGAAATGGGAACTTCAAAAGAGGCGATCTAGCTGGTCTACGAGAGATCAAGCGCCGTGCTTCGAGGCACGCTCTGATCCACCGCGATTCATTTCCTGGCCACAAAGCTCCTGCTTCGCAACCTGGAACACCCGCTGAACCCGTACATGATGCGACCGAAGGTAGAATGGGACACATGGAGTCAAACATAATGGAACTGTTTAACCGGGTGGCTCGGGCGGAAGAAGGCAATATGACACTGAACTCGAGGTGTCATGCTCTGGCCGAAAGCCTGACAAAGTGCTACCAAGTACGTCCGCCGTCTATGTCAGTGCGGGGTGTATTGATGCTAACCTGATCTTAGTGGACGCATTCTATCTCACGGTTTATTCAAGCTGTTGTGCCCGATAGGGAAAGCCCTCTACATCGCGATGGTATTTCAATATTGCCGCCTCCCTCACAATGACACGCACTGACAACTCCCCAGTCTCGAGCATGCAAAGAGAAGTTGAGAAACATATCGAAATAATGCGCGCCATCGAAACCCCTCACGAGACTCTCATGCCTCCACGGCAACAGTACTTCGGCAACATGACTGAGGCCGGTCCACCTTTGTCACCGCGCCAAATGCCCCAGGACGATGCCCGTCGACAGTCCATGATGGACCATACATCTAGACCCACTAACATGATCCGGCCGCCCGTCCCTCCCCATCTCTCAGTATCCCCTCGCCGCTACGGCTCGATTGGCGGTGCCAATTCTACAGCATATGCTCGCCCACAACCCCCCGTTGCGCCGCCCCCACAGCAACCGATGCCTCATCCTCTCTCTGTATCAACATCCCCAGGGCCTAACTTGGCCCGTCGTCACACGTCTGCGGACATCCGACAGCACGGCTGGTCCCCTTCGGCTGGCTCCCCCTACCCTCCTGGCAACCCTCCAAACGGCCCTTGGCCTTCATCACCAGGGCACCGAACCCCGGTCTCTAGTGACCAGCAAGTCCGTGATGTCCTCGCCCAATATGAAATGGGTGCTCCCCGCCGCCTTCAAGAACAATCCCGCCATCCCACTCCACCCACTGCCGAACCTTCACCGTCCATGCTTGGTGTCGACAACGGCTGGACACTCGGCGGCTCAAGATTCCCGCATGGCTCTTCATTGCCTGCAACCCGTCGCTCGAGCATGGCAAGCAATGTGCATTCATTGCTCAATCCTGCCGATACTGCCGAAAGGCCCGACGAGGACCAGCAGGCGATGGCAGATGACCGTAAGCGGAAGCGGTTGGAATAAATCCTAAATATTGGAAGAATCCCAGCATATATCTTCCACTAATGGTGGCACTGCATTCTCCTCCCATAAAGTCCCTATACCACCGACAAGCCATCTCACTCCCCTCTTCTTCCCCTACTCCTTTGACCTGCATATGTACCATTGACCAGAGCAAAGGGCATTCATCCCCAGACATCTGAAGAATGTCCGCAGCTTCGATCTCAATTTCTAATTGCACCTGTAGATGTCCGTTTCACCCATTTCTTCTCCTTCACCTCTCATCTTTTCTATTTTTGGATATTTAATTCTGGCCAAGGTACGCCAATACCGGCGTCTCGGCCGCGGCTCTCCGGGTCCCATACTTCGTTCGCACACAGCATATCATATATACCCTTGGGTTGGGCAGAGCCAAAAAAAACATTGAATCTTGTGGCACCTAGAGCAAGAGACTGGAATTGAATTGTATTTTATATTTGCAGTTTGATTATATCAGTTGGAATGAAGTTTTTTTCTCTGCAGACTGTTTGATCTTGGTATCTTGTTGGAGTGGCACGGGGCACAGTATGGCATCAGCCGAGTTGCCATTGGAGTATGTATTCTGTCTTCCTTGGACGTGTCTAGCCAAGGGGCCCTGTGCTGTAGTCTCTGCCGCTGGCAAAGTGAAGACCCCGGCAGGCAATCCGCTCTGGCCGGTATGAGTTCACACTTGAATCAACGGCCTGATCGGGCGCATCCACAGCGACCAATATCAAGGCCTAATCCATCCAGAAGAACCCAGAGCCAGTGAACGCTCGCGCAACGCTCGTGTGCGTGAGAACATAAAATCGAACCTACCAACCGCAAGTCTTCACCTCTTCTTCCTCTTCTTCGCACGCTCAGCCAAAAGCTCATCAAGATAACTCGTCGCCTTCTTCCTGCCCTTCGAGCGCGCAGGAGCCGGCGCACCCTCACCCTCGCCTTCCTCACCACCTTTATCTCCGGCCTCAGCAGCCGCAGCCGCAGCCGCAGGATGCACACCACGACCCGCCCCAGCTCCACCCTTCCTCTTATTCTTCTGCCTAGCAAGCATAGCCGAGCGACCATCCTCTTCATCGTACTCGTCCTCGACCTCAGCTTTCGGCACACTAGCCGATGTAGACGCAGCCGTGGCTGTAGAAGCAGCCGCCGCCGCCTTTTGCTCGGCGGCGGCCTTCATAACGCGATCGTAGTTCTTGCCGAGGAGTTGTTTGCGCAGCTTATCATTCGAGTCCATCTCTGTGCGGTTCCAGCTTCCGTCTGCTGCTTTCTGGGGCAGGGGGGCTCCGACGCCGAGACTGTGATTTGGGGAGTGTGGTTAGTTGGTGCGTTTGTAGGGTATGTTTGGGGAATTGAGGATAGTGGTAAAAGATATGATCGGATTGTAGGTGGAAGGCTGGAGCAGCACTCACGTCTCTGGTACTGCGGTAAAGATTTCATCTTCTTCTCGCTGGAGCTCTTCGTCGGTCTTAGGGTTTGCTAGTTCTTCTGTTGTTTGTTGTGGTAGCCATGAGGCTACGAGCCGTTGGCTGCGGGATAGAGCAACGTTGGCCCGGTTGAGGATTACGTCGGACTCGCTTTTAGAGAGCGACATGTTCGTTTCTCTGCGCTCAATGAGTTATTGGCGGATTCGAGTCGGTCTTTGCGGTTGGGATCTGCGGTGCCTTTTTTTTTGCCGATATGGCGGAGGCGGTGAGTCTGTATCTATAAAATGATCTGCAGATGTATGGTGCCTATTGTTGAGCAAGTTAACTTACTGTATCCATCGATTCTGTTGAATTTCCGAAGTTCAGATGAACTATGGATGTTGTCCAAGGTAAGGGCAGGGTCGATATGAGTGCTAAATAAGCAGAATATGACCGGAGATACGTATTATATCATGAGAATATATGACAAGAACTAGCTATACCTTGACAAATACTGAATGAGCATCAAATCTTACCGAAAGTAACTTGCCATGTTAATTGATAGCTTGTTTAATATTGGTACTATAGCGAGAAGCTCAAGCCTATATCAGACATGTTCCTACATTCTCTGTGTGTGCCTCGACCAGAAATCCAATCTGATATCAAAATTCAATACTGCGGGTCCTTCATGCACAAAGCCTCTACAGAACCGTAGCCTCGGTACTATCAGCTTCGTTTGGAATAAACTATCGGCTTTAGTTTGATCATCAGTTTTGGCTTGTTCCATAGCACAAAGCACTCTTGATCCATCCAGTCCTTTTCAGGCTGGTCCAACTCCATATCGAAATTGAAGACCATGCGAGCGAGAATGATACGCATTTCGACGTATGCCAGACTGGAGAAATATATATGAGCAAAGACCCAATACAAATGACAAGTGGACTTACTTGCGTCCAATGCAGTTCCTAGGACCAAAACTGAACGGTTGCACTGCAGTTTTACTGTCATTCGCAAAGCGAGGGTTGCCCAAATGACGCTCTGGGATAAACTGCTCTGCATCAGCAAAGTTGGCAGGGGAGTGACTGGCAGCGAGATGAGAGACGGAAACAACTGTCTATAAAAGGTGTAAGCGGTGCTGTATAGCTTTTTAAGTTAAGCAATTTTTGTAGTTACCCCTCTTGGAACCCAGTTTCCAGCAATCATATCGCCTTGGGCATCAACTATGCGAGGCAATCCAACTGCAACGGGAGGATACACTCGAAGAGCCTCAGTAAGGACGGCCAGACAATACTCCAGCTTATTGCAGGATTCCAAGGTAATATCTTCCTAAATGCTGATCTGATCTCATCTTGAAGCTTTGCCAGCACCCGTGGATTTCTCAGCAGCAGATAGGTTACCCCAGAGAGCACAGTTGCAGTGGTCTCCGAGCCGGCAATAATCAACGTACTACCATTGGTGATCATTCCTGGGATGCTGAATCCTTTCTCGGTGTTTTGATGCTTCAAAATGTTGCCGAAGAAATCAGGTCTTTCATTAGACCTACCTATCCTACGCTGAACCTTTTCCTTGGTCAAGGCTAAGTGTGCACTCCTTTGCGAGAGAACATGCCGAGGAGTAATGTATGGGAGGATATATTTCGATCCTGGGAGGCGCCGAGACACATTTGCGTAGGCGCCATACTTGAGCGAGCTGAAGATAATGGACACCCATTGGTGGTACTCCGAATTCTTGAGACAGTCGAACGGCTCTCCGAAAGCCAGGTCTCCAATAATATCAAAGGTTGTGAAGTTGTACCAGGTCACCATATCAACGATATTTGTGCCACCGTCGATATTCTCATGCAGACGCTGCATCAAAAGATCAATATAGCCCTTGATTATGGATTCCTGACTGCGCAATGAGCTTTCGGAGAATGCGTGCGACAATAAACGTCGAAAGCGGGAATGGTCCGCATCATTGGAGACGATGATGCTGGGAGCTTCTCCAGGGGTTGGTGCATAGAATCGATGATCTTTGGTCTTCTGGCCGTGGCCGACACGTGTCCCATAGATGGGCTTCCAAGCTGCGCCGTCTATAAGAGAAAGTTCATCGGGGGCAATGCGAACTACATCGCCGTACTGTTGATGCAATGCTTTGATCCTTTGTGGGAACCGGCCACCTAGGATCATGCGGATATAAGGTAGACGTGTGGCTGCCATAAATTTTGGTCCAGGACAGTTGGTCAGAGGGTGGAAGTAGACATTATAGACAGGGAGAGTGATGAGGTAAAGTGGGATCTATTTAGAAATACGTCCCTGGTTAGTCGAATCCCATTGAAACAACTTGGGAGACCAAGGTGCATTTACCAACGTCAAGCTCAGCTTTAGCAAAGCAAGAGCTATAGTTGGGAAGTCTTCCATGTTCGAAAGCGCCGACAGACCAGGAATAACAGCCATTATTAGGGCTATCAAGCATTATATCCGAGAATATTCACAACATCCTCGACATTTTGAGGGTACTTATACTCCTCCTTTCCCCTTTGTCACTCTCACTTGTGTGACACAAAAAAATAGTGCTCAACACTCCGTTCATTATGATGATCTATAAATTGAAGCCCCGCACTCTGTACCGCACGATCCCGGTTTAACAAGGGGCCCGGGCATCTGTGCATGGTCTCGCAGCTTGGTTTTAGTCTAAATTAGATAACTACTGAGAGAGACTCCTTTGATCCGAGAAGGCGCTTCTCCCCTCTTTTCAAAGAAATTTGCGTTTAGCCTTCAGCTAGACGCTTGTAAGATAATGTTCAGACATTTTGGATAAAACGTTGAAGTCTCATATACTAGCCACGCCGTTAGAGGAGCTAGTGTTCCAAGCTAATGTAACCGTGCCAAATGTGTCCACGGCTGTTTTACGAATTTTGTATCTGTATAGGAATGATCTACAAAAGATCCAAGATTTATTCCTTGGGATTTATGACTCTATGGGGGGCTGCGAAGGGGCATAGTTACCTGAATTACTATCCATGGATGACAGACTCTTAATAACTAAGGAAGGTACAGCCCTCTACCTACGTAGGGCTGGAGTGGGGCCTCCGAAATATTAGGCTAAACCTATATGCCTAGATATACCGCCCTCTTAAAGGTATATACCTGAAGAGACCTGCTAAAAAAGACTACTAAAAAGACATATAAAAGGACTATCGGAGTAGACTACCTAAGAAGACCACTAAGCTGGAGAAGACTACGGCTGTATAAGCGGCTGACTATTTATTCTTATAGCAGTATATTTAAAAGGGGCGGAATATATAAGGCGGTACTTGGTCGGAGGTCCCACTACATAATACAACGTATAGAGCGGTGTCAAAAGCGGTCTAAAATCAGGTATAAACCAGGCATTTGACCTTTGGCCGTTATGCCCCTTCGTAAGGGGCTACTGTGTTACTATCCATGGATGTATCTCTTTTATGCAGAGAATAAATATGGATCCTGCACAGGAAATGCAGCATAAAATCAACAGCCTACGATGTCCATATTGAACAATCCTCCTACCAGCGTATGTTAACGAGGGGTCTTTTTAAATGGTCAAGTTTATTTTGGAACAAGCTGAGCCAGAGAACAATTTTATACTATCATGATAATTACAAATATGTGTCTATGTGTTTGTTGTACATATCTTCTCCATTTATATGTGTGCCCTCTGTATCCATGTGGTAATTCATATACCTTTTCTAATGCTCTGGGCCAGAGGTGGATGATTTGAATGAAGAATAGCTCGCAGTGTGTTCGAAATTGTGTTCAAAAGGCACTTGCGAGCTTCAAGATATGAATGCCAGTCTGTCTAGGTGTTGCAGCTTGCCCTTTCTTGGCGAGGGAGTATCTTAAAGGCAGTTTGAAGGGCCTGCAGGGTTCAAGGTTAGCCCACGAATTGAATAACCACAAGGATATACTGACCTCATTCAGGACTCTGTGTGTTTGAACCAATGACTTGGCAACTTCATTTTCTGTGCTTTCCACAGTTTGCAGTTTGATTTTCACCCACGAATCCAAGATAACACCATCTTCCTCCTGTTCTATTTTGTTTCCAAAGAGGCAGGCGGCTAGTGGGTTGACTCGGGTGGTTCTTTCCATCCCGTAAGGCCATCCGAAGTTGGAGACCATGATAAAGCTTTTGTCTCTGGACTCAATTAAACCTTTTCCCTGCTTGACTGTCTTCCCGGATTTGTATTTGATGGTCTTCTCACCAAAGGGTTTCACACTTAGGTTGGAGGAAAGACATTGCACCAAGAGTGTTCTGACCAAAGTGTTATCCCTGGAACCGGCATTGAAATTGGCGGAACCAGAGGAAAAGCCCCCATCACCGTACAAGCTATCTGCGGGGAGGAGTTTGGCTGCGATCAATCTCTTGATGATTCGCTCAATTTCCGGAGTCACTGTGTGATATAGCTTGGACATATTGTCTCTTGAGACTTCATCCATAAAAGCCGAAAGTTCGCCCTTACGCAACATTCCTCGAATGGCCCTAAAGGTCTCGATGGTAGCAACATGATAGCCCACTTCGCGGCCAAAATGAATTGGTCCAGTCAGCCCTCTAGGTAAAAGCAGTCCGTTCCACCCCAGACTCGCAAGGATCAGCATTGGGTCCAAACATCTGAAAATAATGCCCAGAACAACCATCTTGCCAAAGCATGGATCCATATCCAAATCGGCGACAAGATGGCCAAGAGCGGTGAGTTCTTCCTGCTCGTCCAATACCTGCAATTCCTTCAGATCATCCACTGCAGCACGAACGCTGGACTCTTGAGGTGGCTTATAGGTTTGCGCGAAAAGTTCTGCGATTAAGAGGGACGTTCCAGAGGTCGCTCGCTTAACAAGCAAGCAGGCTTGTCGAAGATCCGAGCGACCAGGCCAAGTCTTTGGAGATTTGGTGAGTGAAAGGGAATCAAAACACTTTTTGGCACCAAGGAAGTAGTACTCTCCAGCCTGGGCTCTGCCTGCACACTCTGCCCGCTGCGAGGCGACATTTTGACTACTCCAGCCACCAGTCCATCTGATTCGCTCCAAATCGTGGTATCTCTCCTGATTCTTGTGTTTTCGGTGGCTTGACTTGCCACAGTCAACGACGTACTTCACATCTGGAATTGTGAAATTGCTCTCTTCTTTTGCAATGACAAGCCTTCGGCAACCCGGAGGAATCCCAAGGTTAACTTCCGCTTCTTCTTCTGCCGTATCTTTATGCAACTGAATGATTCTGAATCGATTCTTATCGGCAAAACGGAATCCTAGCTTTGGGCCGAATGTTGTGATTTGCTCTATGACTCTCTGAATGTATGCATTCTCTGGGATGAAGACAAGGTTGGAGCCTGTTTTTGTTGTAGACAGGAGCGAGAGAAGAGTCGCAGAAATCAACCCGCAAGGTACGACCCTTTGGACAACCCTATTGATTTCTACGGCTTCTGACTTTTCAAACAATTTGAAATGTTCGTTCAAGAATATTCTTGTAGCCGTGTCATTAAGAAGGAGATGCCGTATGATGCTCGGTGTCAAAGCATGGGCGATGTTGCCAATTACTTCTTCAAGATAATACTTCTCCACAGGGAAGCCCATAGGAATAGTCACATGAGGAGCAGGCAAAAGCGTGCCATCTTACTTTCGGTACCAAAATAGGAACGAAGACTATCGACCTGAGTAAATGAACCCATCAGAATGACCTTTGGCACAGAAGCACTGGTAGACTTGCGTTGTTCAACAAATTCAAAAGCATCATGCCCGCGCCGAGATCGAAGCCACGTAAGTGAACATCATCAAATATGACGTGGGAGAATTGCTCCAAGCTGGAGGATCCATTTTTCAACAGTCTCAGCAAAGCGTCCCTAGAACAATACGTGATACTTCCCCCCAAAGGAGCAATGTGATCGGGCAACCCGGAACAAGTAGTATCACCCGGTTCTTCAAATCTTTCATCGGCCACTCGTGTTGACATTTCGACAGCCTCTAATTCCTTTTGCTGAACACAGAGTACCTTACAAGATACCCCTGTAGAATTATCGATCGCATCCTCCAAGATAATTTGAGGAACCTGCGTGGTCTTTCCGGAGCCACGCTTTCCATCAATAATGCTGTAGGTGTTGCTGTTGATGACATCTAAAATTTGCTTCGCGCAATGTCTCACGGGCAGTTCAAGTTTCTTGCTTTTCAGTTCTTGGAAACCTTCCGTGGAAGGTGTCGGCCTTGTGCTTAAATCGCAGCAACTTCGCTGTTCTTTGCGCCACATACTTTGGATCATCGAGAGGAATCGTTCGTGGTTGCGATTGATCCTCCCTCCTCTTAAAGTCTGCTGCCCAAAGCATGTCTCGATTGGCATTCTCAAGCACCTTTCTTGCATTTTCGTTGATTGTAGACAATAAATCACGCTTTATCGATAGCTGTACAGTGGGAATCTGATCGGATGTAGATTGTTGCGGACTCAGCATGTCGCTTTTTAGGGGATTTTCAAGCAATGCGAGGCTCGTGCGACTGCCATGCTCTCTGAAGGCTTCCCGGGCCAGTTCACCTCCCTCACAATTAGGTGATCTTGATCGAACTTCACACAACTGTGCCAGAACCCTGTTTTCCAACTGCGGCATGAAATTAGATATGCACATGTTCGATTTATTGGGAAAACCCTAGCGAGCTTCACATACACTAACAGCCCGAGACTTCTTCAATTCACCATGCTCGCCGCCGAGGATGTGACCACTTTTAGACAAGGAATGCCTGGCCAGCTGTGAATCATGCGGGAGCTCATCTGCCGGTTTCTGTTTGGGAACAATTTTATTGATAAGCGCCTCAAGCAGTGGTGGACGGGTTGTGTAATAGTGAGCTCCCATTGTTGGCCGGTGTCCTTCCAGTGCAGATCGGTTGCCAGCAATGATAGGATCTAGTAGCCGTAGCTTGCGACTGGATCGAATTGGCATGGTAGTCGAGCAAATTGTGTGTATGTTTCGTCTTGAGAATTGCGGCAACCTCAACTGGACTCCCCGGCGCGTGGAGAAGCAGGCTTCATTTTGAGCAAATAAACACACTTTTTTGATGTTCCGGAGGTGGACACAGGCACTCGTGCCTGTTGCCATTATAGAAACCGGTAATTCACGGTAGGCGCGCGTATAGCACGGGGTTAGCGGAGTAGCCTTGGAGCTCAGGGGGGGAAAGAAGAGCAAAAGCACAATATGATTAGAAAGTCAGCCTGCTACCGCGTGATATTATATCTGGGTGCAGACTCTAGTGAGGATAATCGAAAAAAAAAAAGAAGAAGACCCTTAGCTCCGACCTTGGCACGCGACAACCCGATCTACCTGAATACAGCAACTATCAAAATACTAATGACCCTCCCGAGGTCAGTGCTCAAGGATGTATATTGCATAAGGATTGCACTAATCCATTACACCTGTGTACACGTTATAATATAGTTTCTAATGGTCTATTATGGAACAGGGTATAAAAAAAGTCATGGCATTTTGGTGTGTCTTATGTACAGTCTATCTCTATACCATATACTATATCTGATGCGCTCTAAACACAGGTTCCCCCATTTGATCCAAAGTGGTATAAAACAGGGTATAAAAATCAACAAGCAAGAAAACATCAGCCCAAAGATCTCACACTGTAGCCTCCTTTTGATGTTTCACACGCAACCTTTTCTCCGTTTTCATGAACTCCCGGATACCAACAGGGACATTGGCGAACAGGTCACTATCTTCACTTGGCGGGGTCCAATTTGTTTCGCTACCACCGCCATCATCATCCATGCTTCCACTGGCTGAGCGGACTTCCGCCCGAGGCGCCGAGCGCATGTCCTTCGTTCCCTTCTCAGGACCACCTTTAGCTTTGGCCGTTGCGATCCGGAATGCCCAGTCTTCCATCTCATCCCGGAAGTCATCCCAGACACAGTGTACACAGCCGCTCATGCAGCAGTTGTCAGGTTCCTCGGGTTGGGGAGGAATGGGTACTCCGTTTATAGTTTTCCACATTGACTGCGGAGGAGCTTCACCAGGATTGTACCGCGAGGATCGGCCTGGGCCGGCGAGACGGGTGCCAAATACGATCGCCATTTTTTCTTGGGGCGATTGCGGTGCGACGGTAGATGCCGGCGTCGGTTTGGCCTCGGACCGAGCGGGCGTCGGGCGCGACGTTGATGCGCCCCCACCGTATGGTGAGCTCGATTTCAATATCAATGAATAGTATCCCGACAAAGGGTGGGCTTGAGAGGAGTCCGCAATTTCCTCCACGGAAGCTGGGGTATTATAAGCATCGGGTTGGTCGGATTGTCCGTGGCCGTTCATGCGCCGGGAGGTCGGAACCAGCACATATTGTCGATATGAAGCAAATGAAGCAAATGTTCTGGCAGGGTGAGAGCGGATTTGAGATAGAGACCTCCGCAGCCAGGGTCTTGTACCTGCTGAGAGACACTCCATGGTGTGAGTTGGGAAAGTCTAGATGTTCTTCCGCATTAACGAGGGGAGATTAAGTCATAGTGCAAACACTGCAAACAGCGCCAGTTGTTTATCTTCCCGAGGTCATCTGCGCACCAGGCAAGACGAACACCCCACGCGACAATGGATTCCCCAGCAAAGCGACGGAAAACTAGCGAGACTACAGGCATTTCTGTGGCGCCAGAGATCCCTCAAAATAACCCCCATCGGTCGAGACGACCCTCCTTCCAGTCTCCAACGAGGGCCAGCCTTGCACGGTCACATCCCGATCTATTAGAGCGCGCAACCAGCAGATCTCCTGCTCGACGACTAGCAAGCAAAGACAGCGGGCAACAAGATCCTCGAAAATTTGGATTACGCGATCGCAAAGCGCTCCGACCATCGCTCAATGCCTCCGCAAGTCCCCTCGCTCGACCCCGAGGCTCTGAAGCGCCCGAAAGTTCCCCCAACAGGCGCTCAAGTGGCGTTCAAGCGTTCTCAAAACCACCACGCAGGATTTCAAGGAGGATTCTCCCAGGAGATTTGGTGTTTGGGTCTCCAATCCCACAACCTAAGAATCCCGAATCGAATACCCCCGAGCGTCAATTGGAATTGGAATTGGGCAGTGCCACAAGAGAAGCGGATACGGATATAGGTCCGGACTCTAGTTTTATGGATGAAGATATCCTCGAACCCGATCTCCCGCCCACGCCAACACAACTAGGTCTGGAAAAGGCCCCGGATCGACCTAGAGGGATGTTGAGTAGCAGCCCTAGTAGGCGACAGGAGAAACGAGCGAAACGACGAATTGCCAATGCATTACATGAGAGCCCACTTAAGGCAGTAAACTTCCAAATCTCCTCCACCGGAGGGTTTGGAGACGACCCCAGACCTGGGTGGAGTTTCAGCGGCTGTCCGTGAGAAACGCAATTCGCGCGAGAAGAGCGCTGCCGATCTGCGACGACTGAGAAACGAAGTTGCAGAACTGGAAACGTGGGCAAAGAAAATCGAGTCCAATCCTGACTTGAAAGGCGACACCAGAGGACTCGACCAATTTCTGTGGGTTCCACAAGTAATTTTGGCTTGGATACTACTGACAATCTTTAGGTCTTTACTCACATCGGAAGAGGCGAATCGTGCAATTCTCCCAGTGCCCCAAACAGCCCCTAAACCAATATCATCCCTCCTCGCCACTTTACTCCCGTTCTCCGCCAATATCCCTCGCCCAAAACGTGAATTATCATTGCTACCAACGAATCCATTTGCCCTGCAAGAAGCCTCTCAATCACCGCCGTACCTAACAGCCTTCGCACCCTTGACCCTCAAAACCCATACAACTCGGTCGTCTCATAGGGAGGAGTTGTTAGAAACACACACACTAATATTTTCTCCCCCGTCTCCATTCCCAGCAAGTCTGTACAACGTGACGGTTGTCTACGAAACAAACCCCGAGACCCAGTCTTTGACTTCCCTGTCAGTGCCTACTGACAGCGACAGCAAGAAAAGAAAAGTCCCTGAAGCTATTCGTCGATGGATTGATACCCGCTTAGAAAACCCACTCTTGAAACTTGACGTGGCAACTCTATGCTGGGGAATCAACCGGTACTGGGTATCTGCAATCACCCGTGCTCGTTTGTGGGCACACATTGACCGCAAGTATGGCCCTAGGGCCTTGCAGGGCAGAAAAGATACTGCCTCGGAAAGCAAGGACGGCGTTATCACGCTTTCTGAACTGCGACGACTAGTCCCGCATTTGGACCGGAGTGCCATGGTCATCAAACCTAAATCTTCTGACTCCAGCCTCCGGGTGCTTTTATCAAATAATTTAATGTTGGATGAATGGACCGGAGAGCCTCAGCTGCGGCCTGAGATCAGCGTGTCGATCCCCGGGGTAGATAAGAAAATCGACCAGGAGGCGAAGAAGCTTTTTTATGCGTTGCTACATGAGGATGGCACTTCGAGCACGCGAGGTGTGGAGGGTGGTATCCATATTGATGCAGTGGTAAGGGCGACTGAAGGTGCTCTTGGTGCTTTGTTCGGTCTTTGAATTTTTGTTTTGGTTATTCCGGTGTGGTTTGATTGTCAGCGTTAGACGTTGAAGTAGTGGTTAGTGTGGTTCTCTGAAGATACCCGAGCTGAGCTCAAACTGCAAGTTTATTGTGTTCCTCTAAAGTGTTACTCATGAGATAAAGACTTAAACGAGTCTGACAATATGTATGTAGTCATAGGAACCGTCTTGCAAGAAATACATGGAAAAAACATCCTATAATTCCCATCTAACCAGGCCTTAAAAAGACAAGTTTACATCCATAGCGAAGCTACAAAGTATATAACGAAATGAACTACAAGAAGCTTTCAATGTTGTCCGCGCTGGAAGCCCAGGATAGAACGCCTGGATTACCAGCTGGACAGACACAAAAGTATGAGGTATACAGGCACAAGGCCAAGGTTGAGAGAATTGGGCGGTTTTGAATTTCGAGAGATCTTCCGAGTTCTTTCTTTTAGAGACAAAAAGGAGTAAAAGTTGGGGAGGGAGAGAGGTAATCAAGGAAGAGGTGCAACGCCATGCCACAGTACACTAATCCCCGATTCGAAAACCGAACCCGATCATCATCATCAGCACGAGAGGGAATTATCACATTTATTTCTTGGCAGCGGCCTCATCCTCAGCCTTGGTCTTGGCACGCTTCTCGCGCATACCCTGGTAGCGGGCCTCAGCGCGGGCGTCACGGAGACGACGGTAAGCAGCCTCCTCGCCCTTGGGGAGCGAGTCGCGCTTGACCTCGGTGACGGCCTCAGCAGCGGTGGGGTTGGTGATGGGGAAGGTGGCCTCAACACGGGTGGCGATGCCGTCACGCTTGCCCTCAGCGACGGTGGCCTTGACGGCCTTGACTTCCTCAGCGGAGGAGTCGAGCTTCTTGAACTGACCGCTCTTGCGGGGAAGAGGATCAGGCGGGCCTTGTAGTCCTGAAGACGGGCGACGTTGGCAACCAGGGACTCCTTAGAGTAGTTGGTGCGGCGGTGGTCAACGGAGATACCGACGGTGGGAGCAAGCTTCTTGGGGATACCAGCTTCCTATAAACCATCAAAAGATTTCGAATTAGTGAGTTGTTTCTCCATAGTGCCTCCACTTTCGATGCGGCTCAATTTACCTTCAGCTCAGCGAGGGTGAAACCACGACCGGCACGAACGCGGCGGTTGTACTTGATGGTGGGGCATCGGACAACGGGACGCAGCTTGTCAACCGGACGGGGAGCAACAGCAGCCGCCTTAGCGATGCGGGCCTCACGACGACGGTGCTTCCGGCCGGGCTATGCGATTCATGTTAGTCGGCCAAATTCATATCCTGCAAAGAAAAATTTTCCTCGGTTCCAAGTCGTTTGCGATATCGTCCGGAATGAAAAAAAGTTCTCTTGTCGGGGGATGTTGGATAGTCGTACCTGGTCGAAGTGCACACGGACACGACGCTGCCAGTCCTTGTGGAAGTCTATTCAAGAATTCGTTAAATACAGTTCCTTCAATGTCTGATCTCCCAAGACTTTCGGTCGGTCTGAAGCGATCATATGAAGGTGCAAAGCGACGGGTCACTCACGGTTCTTCTGAATCTGGTTGTTGTGCTTGATCGCCTATATATCCCACACACAATCAGTCAACCATTTCTTTCATTCTTTTCGAGGCGTATTTCAATCTGTCGATTTCTCTCAATCGCACAAGTCGAATCTTTTATTGTATCTTCCAAGCAGGGATAGGGAACGCACCATGTTGACGGATGGGGATCGAGCCGGGTGGTGGTCGTCGAGGGTTGCTGGTCAAATCCTCCTTCACGGCAGAAAATGAAGTTCCCATTTTTCGTGTGGCCGCCCGCTGACGGACACACCGCCTCGCTTAGCGAGCCCTAACCAAGCCGGATTCGGTAATCTGCCAGAGTTATTTTTTATTTTTTATTCTTTGATTTTATGCTCTGCTATGATATCTCAAGCCTCGAATTGTTGAATGAGATCATACTTGAATTTTCTTTTCATGGAAGTTTTCAAGATTGTAATCCGTTAGTCTTTGAAGACTCTATACCTATTGTACATGGTTGTACCGTCCCGAATTCATATCCTTTCCTATCCCAAATTCCTATCTATAGCTGCATGATAGCCATTCACCCCAAGTCCGGGACTATGGATTGCCGCAAAACAAACACTCGGCCATAATTCCCATACCGAAAAGCCAATTAACAACGCCACATTTGAAGGGCCATGGGATCACTGTCACATGGCCTCTTCATGGTTCATACAAAAATTCCCAGAATCCCAAAAAAAAATCAGTCGCTAGTTTGAAAACACCACATTTGGCATGTCTCATCATTCGTGAGGTTCCCATAATCGTAACAAGCAAAGCAGCGCTAGGTCATGAATCATATCAAAGTTGGTGACACGGGATATGAACTCAAGCATTGATGCCTAGACCAATGCCATTTGTAGGCCTAGACTTCTTCGTGGCGGCAGCGTTCGCGTCACTGTCTGCCTTGCGCTTCCCAGGGCGAGATCGCTCAACGCCGGGTTTCTGCACCTGGCCGAACAACTTTGTCTGGAGCAATGTGCTGCTCTTGGGAACAGTCGAGCGCATGTGCTGCGGGGAGGCCAAAGCCTCTTCCGCGGCCTCGGAGGCTGAGAGAGATACGGTGCTGTCGCTATCATAGTGATCTTCTCTTGGGTGTCCAATTGGACTGAGGTACTGGCCCTTCGAGTGGTTCGGTGTGACGGGAACGGAGGTTGCAGAGTGAGTACCATAAGCGTGTGTCTGGTTGGTGAGTTTATCGGCGTAGAGAAGAGCGGCGAGACCATCTGCGTGTTCACCATGGCAGATATTGTGTATATCATTTTGAGTGCTCGGCGACACGCTGCCGTAGTTGAAGATCTGGGAAAAGTGCTTGCGGTTGTCACCAATGCGCCGCTTCAGCATGAGGTTCTGCTCTTCGAGGTCCATAGACCGACTGGTAGCTTCATCGATGGCACGCTTCGCCTTTCGAAGTCTTCGGTCCAGAACAGTATTGAGTTCTTCTAACTCCTGCGAGCGCTGGACAGCCGAGAGATAATCGGAGTTCAAGGTAGACTGGGACTGCTTGGGCGTGATGGGATCTGCGGGGTGCGACCGACTACGGTACTCGGCGCTCTGAATAATCTCAACTTCGCGCTTGGCGAGCTGATGCTCCACCTCAGCGCGCTTGACGGCTTCATTGCTTGCGAAAGAGACCAAGCTGTTCTGCAGTTTGAAGTGCAGCGCAGACATGCGCGACTCTCGGGCTACGGCTAAAAGTTCCTTGGCAATAGTGCGCAGTTGGGTTTCGCCGGCATTGTCGATTTCCTCCAGGGTGGGCAGGTTCTCAGAGGCGCCGTAGGCATCGCACAACGACTTGTCCAGATCGGTGGGTTTCGCCAACGAGGGGCTCAAGGAGCGCGAGCGCGAGTGAGAGCGAGAGCGAAGCGGGGCCCCTGGGATCTGAGATGAGGGTGGAGGGGTCATATCTGATGACGACAATGGCGGGGGTGAGAGGAACTTCTTATCCGACTGGGACGATGGGCGCTTAGCCATAGCGCTGAGCTCTGGCGACGGGGACAAAGTGGTCCGGCGGACTGGAGTTGAAGGCACGATCTCTGCAGGTGCATCCAGGGAACTTTGTGAGTTGGTATTTTGAGACATGGTGGATGTGTAGTTGTGTAGTGATGTTGATATAAGATATCACTATGATAGAACCACAAGGGTTTAGGAGGGTTTAGCCGTGGGGAAACGGGTCCTCGCACTAATTTCTTATCAGCATCTTTATCGTAAAACAGATGATTGAAGCACAAAAGAATTATGTACATACCGGAGACTGATATCAGTCCTTAGGCTAGATCGCACAGATGCTTAGACCGGGTATGTTGCCTTAGGAACCAAATGAGAAGATAGAGGACCGAGGCCGGAGCAAGGGGTAGGAATCTCAATTTTGAGCTAAGAAGACAATGAATTGGAGAAATTGGAGAAGGATGAAAGAAGGGAGAATAATGGAGTTGAGGGAGACCTTAAGAGGAAGAGGTTACTCCAGCTCGCGTTATTGGGAGGGGCTGGGTGGCTGGGAACGGGGGAGTTTCAAGGTACCCGCTTTGGGTTAGTCCATGTCCCAGCCCCGGTCAATTATCTAAGAATATAAACCAATCAGAGACCGGTATGTGCTTACATCAAACCTATTTAAGTTAGTGTGGCGATCACGGGACGCTCAGGGCAAGTAAACACCCGCGACCGGACAAGCGCTGGAGGGTTGGGCAGGCAACCGATAAGTATCAGATCGGTACTCCATACTCCGTACTCCGTATGTTGTATATGATGTACGACATCATGGAGACTTTGTCTGTTTGAGCCTTCAAATGCTTTGCGGGAAAGCTACTTAGGTAGAGTTCTCGCATAACGTAAATAAAGAGAAGTATTACATCCTGTAATAAGTTTCGAAGAACTTGACTGAAATTGCTAGTGCATAAATTAAATCACCTAGTACAAGATGTGTCGGAATAGCCAGGCAGAGCTTCTACAAAGATAATATGCAAGGGCATCTCTTGGTTACTACCTGAAACAGTCGGTGCCAGCCCTCTTCAGCGGCAAAAGCAAGGATCAGGTCTTTGGAATCTCTACTAATATCTTACGGATTCAACATAATACATCCAAATGTTTTATATCAGGTAGATACTGATTATTAGAAGAATATTGGGCCCGAAATCCCAAATGGAACTGTTTGCTCCTGGCATTATTTTCTGTAGACTCCCGGGTTAGTATACATGCTCCTATGCTCCTATGCTATACACAGAAAGATCTCTTTTCTGGCTACTGGTAATGGCCTCGCTACTCAGATGAGGGTTTTGAGTTCGCTGCTATCAAGTTGCGCTGGATATCTGTTTGTAATGTGACATTGCTCTTTGATGTATATATCCGACGGAATAAGCCAACTACAACACACAGGCCAACTATAGCTCGCATAACCATCAAATTGCAATTCCACGGTCTTTTATACTTACAAATTGTCTAAGA